TGGAATATATTCAACATGAGTATATAAGTTAAAAAGTGCTGAAACAGTTACGGCTGCTTTCAAAAGAACTGCACAACTGCACAGACAACTTGTTGCACACAGTGGAGCTGTTGCCTTGCATCTGTCACATGAGCACACAGCGAACTGCTTCTGCAGCTGAGGAGTTTTGCAATAAAGGAGGCCGCTGTTTCATGTTAAAAACTGCCCCCTCGCTATTGTGCGGCCTCAGTTGTTTTCAGTGGTGATGTTCTTTAATATGTAAGAGTGCCATGGTACATACGTTACAAATTTTTGAAGGGTTTTGTTGATGTTCTTCACAGCAATGGAAGGTACGCATGAAGATTCTGAAAGCGAGCCCATACCCAGTGAGATGGATGGTCCCCTTCCACAAAACGTTGAGGCTGCAGAAGATATTCCACCTGTTGTGCCTGTGACAATTATAGATGAAGTTCCGGAAGCCGATATCGCAATGCACTACACGAGAGGAGGAGGAGACGTTTTGCTTTCCCAGACACAGGCTAATGAAGATGTTCCAGTTAATCCCATTAGCCCAGGGAAGCCATCCAATGAAAATAACAATGCTGGATCTTTCAGTAAGGGAGATGTGAACAGTGATTCTCGTTATTTATCGAAGGGCTTATTACAACAGCCATCACCTGATCCAGGGTTTAGGCACCGAAATGAAGAAGAGCAGAAATACGAGTTTCAGGCGTCCTCGTGGGAGAAAAGGAAAAAGGAGGAAGCAACCCTGGAGGTTGTGTCTAAAAACGTCACCAACTTCAAGCTTATGGACAAAGTTAATGGTGCAAAGGAGAAAGCAAAGTCACTTAGTGAGCAGGACGCCAAGGAAGGAATTCCAAGCAAAACAAAAACTGAACTGGAATTCAGGCCAGGATCAGCGAGATCCACCAATGACAAGGAAGCTGCTCCACCACCGTCCCCATGGTGCAGCCGTGTCCACAGCGTAGTAGCAAGCTATGAGCCTAAGATAGGCCTGACAACCTTCAAAGTTGTTCCTCCCAAACCAGAAGTAAAACGCTTTGACGCGGATGTGTCTCTCTCCACTGGTGCCATTAAAATAGATGAGCTGGGCAACTTGGTGACTCCAAACCCCGGGGGGATTAAAAAGGTTGCCGTGAACACACCTTTGAGTGAAACAGGGGGAACCCTCGTTGGGAGAGCCAAAGCGTACTGGAGGTCCAACTCTATGGAAAAACCGCTTGAGGAGTCCCCAGAAGGTTCTTCTAATAAATCACCAGTCATCCATGTTTCCAAACCCTTCAGTAAAGCATCTGAAACTAAGCATGACTGCCTTACAGGTCTGAAAGTGGCAACCGTGCCACAAGTTGGTTCAAAAGCAGTTGGAAATAATTTGGGACCCGAAAAAACGAAGCCACCCTTTCCTGTCACGCAGTATCCAATGAAAGCACCCACTGCCCCAGTCGGTAACAAAGATAAGGTTGAGTTACCATTTCAGAAGCCCCAAAGGAGAACATCCAGCCATTACGTAGCCTCTGCTATTGCAAAATCCTTGGATCCACCCCAGTTGAGAACCAGTCGGGAAAAACGTGACAAGGAAGAAGAAAACAGTGATCAAAGAGGGGCAAAAGCCGAAATGGAATCCCTTCCTAAAAGATGCATTATTGTGGCCAAATCCTGCCCCGTGGAACCACAGCCAGCAAGAACAAATGAAGGTTATTCACGCATCTTCAGTTGCGATAAAAATGCAGCAAATAAACTACCAAGCGGTGCTCAGTCCAAGATGAAAAGCCACACTGCCAACATTACGTCGCCGAATCAGATCAGTCCTTCTAGTTGCTATGGAAGAAGCTTCAGTGCGCCATTTTCCACACTGTCTTCTCAAGGCGGCATCACGGAAGAGGAGACCAGTCGCAGCTCCGCACAAAATGTAATTGTTAAAGAAACGTCATCTATAGTCCATCAAAATGGGGAGCCGGCTGGTCAGACTAGCTCCCTTTCCTCCTTTAGACCATGTAATGCTCCCTCATCTCCCATTGCTTGCAACTCCCTTGTGAAGTCAGGTAGCGGGCATACCATCCACAGTGGATCTCTGAAATGTAATGGTACCCCTCTGGTAAACCACGTGGCTTCGAGAAAAGAAGAGAACCTTGGCGGTGCCTCTGCCGGGAATGAACTGGAGGCTAATATCAGGGATGACAACATCTATAGTGTCTTTGGGCCAAAGAAAAGGTTTAAACCAGTCATCCAGAAACCGCTTCCAAGAGACACGTCACTTCATGGTGCTTTAATGGAAGCCATCCAAACTGCAGGAGGAAGAGAAAAGCTTAGAAAGGTAAGACGACCTTGCTGAGATCAGTGCTGGGTGTTACAGGATGCTTAACACCTTACTACAACACCCAAAGTTGCTCTTTGATTAGTTGAAATGATAAAAGCCCAGCCTTTTTGCCTTAGCAGACAGCAGTCTGTTTGAGAACAGCTGCTGTAAACATAGTATTTTTTTTTTAAAAAAAAACTCATAGTAGCAAGATACTGCCTAGGCTACTGTCAGTTCCACAATTTTCAGCGTTAAACAAGAGCGGTAACAGCTTCACTTATTTAAAGTGGGAAGATGGATACAGGTATGTATTGCGGAGAGGGAGAGGGAGAGAGAGTGTGTGTGCTAATTAGCTTCTAAGACCAACCCTGTCCTCATGAAGGATAATGAACAAGATCTAAATCATGCAGTATGTTGTTGCAGCAGGTGCTGCCTTTGGTTCCAGAGAGTCTGATTTCTCCTCTCTGATCAATGCTGTGTTCATACAGCCCACGTTTACCCACAGTTCACGTTTAATATGCAGTGGCTTGTGAGGTTTAGGACTAAAGCGTTTGGCCTTTCAACAGAAACGGCACGGAGGTGCCACAACAAGCTGTAATTAAACTGAGATTTGCCATGACAGGCACAGGCGCCGCCACCACCCTCTTGCGCATGCCGTGCAATTAAGGCTTCTGTTCTTGAGAAGCCTTGAGGAGAGCGCCAAGTCCCCCTGACACCTGAGTGCAGGTGAACGGGGGGCAAGGTTTGCCTCACAAGCTGGGATTCCAAAGTGGGGTTAAATCAAGGCGGAGAAATCTGGTTTGCACGGGACAGACAAACTCCAGTTCCCCAGGCTGCTGCAGTTGCACCGGAGATTGTTCTGAGGCTTCTCAAGGCCAGAGAACCTAATCGTGCTTCATATGCAGGTCGAGCAGGGAGGGGCAGGCACGGGGAGAGCAAACGACATTTGTGACCTCAGCAGCAGATTTCTTTTTATTGTGTTGGAGTGCAGCCTGGGTGGTCTTCCAGGTGCTCAGATTTACCTACATTGTCAATCTTCACGTTAAAAAGAGACAGAGAGAGAGAGATTGTCTGTGTTTTATCACGTTCTAGATTCCGGTCAACGCTGTAAATGGAACTCAGAGGAAAGGATCGGTTTCAGAACCAGAGAACGAGCGCTCTGCCCTCCTGGCAGCCATTAGAGGTCACAGTGGAGCCTGCAAGCTGAGGAAGGTATGAAGGCAAAAAGCTTGTTCATCCCTTGTACTGTAGTGTATCAGTGGTCTGGGAACAATGGAAATGAAAGTTCTGCTACAATGATGAAAAATTAGATCAGGACAGGCACGGCTGTTGTGTACCTTTTCGGGGAAACGGATCAAATCCTGCCCTCATGGACTTCACGACAGTTTCACCCGTTGCAGATGAGGATAATCCTTATAAGTCAAAACGTTCCCGGTTACTTGCTCAGATGAGAGAGTCATCAAGGAACTAGGCTTGCTGTAATGCAATTGGTATTGCAGTCACCTGTTGCTGGAGCCTGAGAAATAGCGATGGTGGACAGTGCTGTGAAGTCAAAGCTGACTTATGGCAACCCCCGTAGGGTTTTCAAGGCAAGAGGCATTCAGAGGTCATTTGCCACCACCTGCCTCTATGTAGCAGCCCAGGACTTCCTTGGTGGTCTCCCATTCAAGTACTAACCAGAGCAGACCCTGCTTAGCTTCCGAGATCAGGCTAGCCTGGGCCATCCGTGTCAAGGCACCGGAGAGATACCTGTTCATTAGTCCAACTGTTCTTACACTTAGCTTGCTGGCCCAGTGGTGTTACAAAGGCCACAGTAAAGAAGCTATGCTCTCATGACTGTTACTATTCTATCCCCTGGGGGGGGGGACTCCTTTTAGATAATAATTCACCAAAAAAATGCTCAAATTTTTGCCTTTTGGGTATAGTCTGTCCCAGCCCTGTAGCTAGGGATTTTGGGGGGAGGGGGCCTTGGGGGGCCCCACCAGCCTCCGGGGAGGGCGGGATAAAAATGTAAATAATAAATAAATAAATACATCAAAGGCTCCAGGGCAAGGGGGGGTCTGCTTGGCATGCACCCACACAGCCCCCACTATAGCCTTCCTCTGAGGCGAACCAGAATCCCAACGTTAATAGACACTTAAAGGTCTAGGAAAGCTGCCCTGTTGTTTTTTTTTAAAAAAGGAGAGTGGGGATCAAGCTTCCTCCCTCACTCCTTCCCTGAGCCCACGATCTTTTCTGAAGTCTGACACATAAAATCCAACAGGAGGAGCTAACCGCTGCAATCCGACCAATGCGTGTGTGACTCAGTCAACCACCGGTTGCTGCTGGGTCCTAAAGAGACTCAACTTGTCACAGATGAGCTCAAACAGGGAGATGCCGGCTCAGATTGATCAGGGGGTGAGGGGGCCAGAGGGAGGGAGGGGGATCTGAGGATTGGGGGAGGGGCCCCACGTTAGCTACGGGCCTGGTCTGGCCTAATCTAAGGGACATTTCACATGCAATGTTCCCTCTAAGCTGAGTTTGTGTGAGCTAGCTCACAGTCTTTTAGCCTCCGGCTCACACATTTTTGTCTCCGCTCAGGAGGGATGGCTCCAGAGCAAACTAATTTATGCAGTAGCCAAATCGCTCGCTCACAGCTTTAATGCCAGCAGCTCACAAAGTAGAAGTTTTGCTCACAAGACTCCACAGCTGAGAGGGAACATTGTTCACACGTTATTGCAGAGACAAACCTGTAAGATGCATGTTTACAAACATGCATCAAATATCTAAGGTGAGAGGCAGCCCTTAATGTATTGACATTTGTTGTTTCCCTGCTTTGGTAATGATTGGCCAAAATAGGAGTAGGATAAATTATTCCCTTTCGAGCACAAACTCTGGGCATATTATATACCACACCTACCTTTCTCATCTCATAGATGCACACATTTCCAGAACAGACCAACATGGAGTGCTTCATCAACAACAAATTTTATGGCACCATAAAGACTTAACAAATATTTTGTGGCATAAACTTTCAAGAAGGATCCAGAGGTTCAGGCACAGAGTAGACTCACTTGACTACTGATCTTGCAAAGCTTCAGGGCACTTTTGCTTTCCCTTAGTATTTATATGATGGTTCACTGGCCCTTTCAGCTTCAGTATCATCCTTTGTGACGTGTGCAGCTTTAAATTAGCTGCCGCTGAGCATTTTGACAATGAAATGCAGAGGTATGCATATTAATATAGTATTAATATAGTATTGTTAGTAAACTAACTGCATTAGAAGGGTGCCTCGATTTGCCTAGTCTTGTTATTTTCTTAAAGTGATACACTTTTCTTGATTTCTTTTTTGTACAGCAAATCAAACCATATTTATAGGAATAGACCTAGAGTAACCATTCGTTTGCGATATAAATTGCTTCAGGGAAAGTGACTGTGCATAGCTTAATGCATCATGTTGATTGCAAAACCTTTGTGGTCATTTTCAACCTAATATAGTAGCCAACTGCCGACCTTCTTGCCTCATACGCCAAAAGCATTTCCAGGATGCCAGAGTTCCAATAAATAAAGATTGGATTTCTGAGCCTGCTTCAAGGCCAAATCCTTGATCCCAGTCATCTGTCCTTTTGAGTGATGTGAGAGAGCAGGAACAGATGTTCAGACTTAATAGGCAAACAAAATCTGCTACATGTTGTACTTCAGTGGAAGACGCCAAAATTGTTTAGAAGGGGAGAGGCTGAAATATGCTTCCAATGTCAAATATCCAGTAGTCCATCATGTCTACTATTCACTTGCATGCTTGCTTTCAACTTTCTCCTTGGTAGACCTCTTCATCTGCTTCTGAAGAACTGCAGAGTTTCCGAAATGCAGAATTAGGCTTGCAGATCAGAGAAACTTCTCCGATAGAGCGACTGTGTAATCCTCCTCTGCCATCGCTGCCGCCGCCACCACCACCACCTCCTGCTCATTTGTCAACAAGAACGCCTAGGCCCCTTGCAAATAGCATTACGGAAAACCCAGGCGATGCAAGACAGGCCCTGATGGAAGCCATCCGTTTAGGCACTGGGGCAGCACGCTTAAGAAAGGTAAACATCTGGGTGGAAGGGGAGCAAAGAGCTTAGGAGGAGAAATGAGTGGAAGCCAAGGATAAAGGGGCAAGTTGGGGAAACAGGAGGGGTGGGGAAAAGGTGGAAAGGGGAGCTAGCCTTCTGCCTGTTATAGCTTTAGAACTGTTTGTGAGACATCAGGCTGAATGACCTGATAAATTATTTTTGCAAATGTGTGTTTCACAACTTAATGCGACAGCACAGAAGACTTATGGAGAAAGTGAGCTCGAAGCATCAATTCGTCATGTTTCGTCTTGGATAAATAATGTGTCATTGAGTCACAACCAGCTCAGAGCAGCCCCATCCACAGGGTGTTCAAGGCAAGAGATGAGCAAAGGTGATTTGCCACTGCCTTCCTCTGCAAAGCAAGCCCAGACTTTCTTGGTTGTCTCCCATCCAAGTGCTAACCATGGTTGACCCTGCTTAGCTTCCCAGCTCTGATGAGCTTGGGGCAAGTTGGGCTTTTCAGGTGCCATTCCGCCTTACAGTACAATAAATATTGTGTGTGTGTAAAGTGCTGTAAAGTTGCAGCCCATGGCAACCCCAGCAAGGGGCTTTCAAGACAAGTGAGAAGCAGAGTTCCTCTACAGAGTCTTCCTTGATGGTCTCCCTTCCAAGACCCAACCCTGCTGAGCTTCTGAGATTTGACAAGACCAGGCTATACCAGGCCACCTTCCCTCCCCGCCATAAATATTAGGCTACCGTATTCTCATGAATGTCAGAAGGAACTTTTGCAGATGATACGATATCATCTGCCAGAAGTGTAGGAGATGAGGAGGATCCACAGGCTTCCTAGTTTTGTCCTGTTTCTATGGTTACTTTTTGTGCACCAGATCTTGGGGTCAGTTTGCCTATTACCCATCGAACATAGGTATCAGAAGCCTGTGGTGATGCACTGGGCTGGCCACCAGAGCACAGTACTATGCAGCACGTTCACATCAGCAGCGCACATCCCTGGCGCTGGCTGCATGCCTTGCGTGGAATGTGACATTTCATGCAGTTGGCCAAGTGTGGGCAATAAACCCATTACAAATATTACATCCTTTTGCCTAGAATGCATTCACATGGGAGGAGTAACATTTGAACTTGCCCTCAGTCTCAACTCTGCTAGGGTACTTAAAAGCTCTGCAGTAAATCCTCTTGTATACCTTTATCTGTAGAGGAGGCAATGTAGAGTTGTGATAAAATGTGGCTTTGGCACACGTGAGGTCTTGGATCTCATTCCCAAAATCTTCAGTCTGACAATCTGCACCAACCCGCTGAAGAAGCCAGATTCGAAATGGAACAGGGGTGCATACACTCATTTGCCTGACTCTGTATTCTTAGGAATTCATTATCTACCTGTCAAGAACATCCAGTTTAAAAGCATCAATCGCATTTGCTGCAGAATTGGTCTAGTGAAACCCCAGAACTGGTTGGTTTCTTTGACATTAACGTTCTTCCAGAATTTCCCAGGAAGTCGAGTATATCTTAACAAGATCTTGTGTGTGTTTGCAAATGCAGATGGAATTTTCCCACCTCAAATCTTACCATAAGTATGTAAATATTATGTAACCTTATCTGCTTGCCCTGTAAAGAAAAACAAACTCACAAAAGGAATAAAGCAAACGCTATTACTTTCAAGCAGTTTTCTAAGGAAGAACAAACCACAGAAAATCGTTACTCATTACCCAAAGAAACCAGTAGATTTGGGAGTCTAGCATATAATCATAATTAACGATCTACAAACCGTGGTGTCAAAGGCCACAGGGAGATGCTGCTGTTCAAGCAATGTGGTTTCTGATTGAGAATATACATTTTTCCTCAGTTGCTGAGGTAAAATGTAGTGTCCGGTTTTGGGGACCAGAGAACTTTATTGAAAAGTACTGAGTTCGCCGCATGGAGGACTCAGACGACGACATGCAGTTGCACACGTTTATTGCGTACTTAACATAAGACACACAACGGCCCTGCAAGGCCAACTATATACACTCCCACCCCTGGGCCTCCCACTCCATTGGAGGGTTTGAATTTCCCGCCAAGAAGCCCATTGGTCCGCTGGGGGGGGGGCTAGGATCCTAGGTCCCATTGTCTTTCTGGAGCCAAGCTCCTGTCTTTCTTGTGGCCGCCGTGTGGCGGGCTGCATACATAACATTTATCTTGATTAAGAATGTAGTAAATGCAGTGCAAAACACTGTAGAAAGGTATTTCCCTTCCTGTTCTGTTTCTCTGGAAGGATTATGATCCTCATTGATGTGGGGATTATGATGGAGATGACTCTTTTGAGCAGCAGAAACAGGGACAGGGCAACAGGTGTGGACAGAACATGGGGACCACGTAAGGAGAAGAACTGTCTGAGATGGGGAAGAGGAGGCCTGAGAGCTTTCCAGAAATGTGTATACCTTAAGCCAGTACTGTAGTGATACCTATGGTCCATATGTTAGCCAAGGGCAGTGCAGTCAAATGGGAGAGGCAAGTATGTTTGTGTGAAATTAAAGCCCCCTTAAGCATTTCTTCAAATGGTAACTTTGCAAAGGCTTTTTTGGGGAACTGAGTCCCTTGGACTGCAAGGAGATCAAATCAGTCAATCTTAAAGGAAATCAAGCCTGACTGTTCCCTGGAAGGCCAGATAATGAAACTGAAGCTCAAATACTTTGGCCACCAAGTGAGAAGGGAGCACTCACTGGAGAAGACCTTGATGCTGGGAAAGATTGAGGATAAAAGAAGAAGGGGACGGCAAAGGATGAGATTGGTTAGACAGTGTTATTGGTGCAGTGAACATGAAATTGAGCAAAGTCTGGAGGCCGTCGGAAGACAGGAGGGCCTGGCATGATGTGGTCCATGGGGTCGCGAAGAGTCGGACTCGACTGTGTGACTGAACAACAAAAACAAAGTGTAACTGTGGCTCTGTATCAAGTCAAAGGAAAAACAAGGTTTTTTTAAGCCCCATCACAAGCCTGAGCTCTTCCTAGAAGCTAAAATGACTAAACTGAAGCTGTAGTATTTTGGTCACACTATTAGACAAGAGTCACTGGAAAAGACAAAAATGCTAGGAAAAGTTGAAGGCAGCAAAAAAAGAGGAAGATCCAACATTAGATGGATTGACTCAGTCAACGGGGCCACATCCCTCAGTTTGCAAGACCTGAGCAAGCCTGTTAACAATCAGATTTTTGGAGGCCATTAATTCATAGGGTTGTCATAAGTAAGAAGCAACATGGCGTCACTTAACACACATGCTGTCTCTCTTAAGTTTTGTGGCAAGTTCTGCATGTAAAAACCCAGTGTGGTTGATTAATGTTATGGGGGGGGGAGCTTTAGTGTGGGCTGTGGCTCCTAGTGCAAATTGTCACCTGATTCTTCTCCCCAATCTCTGAGCCTCAGTTCAGATGGAGAAGACACAGCTCACTCCATATCCTTCTCGTGTTCTTTTGCTCTTTCACCTTGGCCAGATCTATCAGGAATCTTCAGCCCAGATTTGGCCTGCATCAAATATATGCTTCCTGCCTTCACAATCTTTTATCTTGTTCCACTCCTTTCAAGAGACATCTAGTGCATGTTGGTCTAATAGATGCATCCAGGGCTTTTTTTGTAGAAAAAGTCCAGCAGGAACTCATTAGCATAATAGGCCACACCCAACAGCAGAAACATATTAGCATATTAGGTAACACCCCTGATAGCACATCTCATTAGCATATTAGGCCACACCCCTGTGCCTTCGCTTGGCTTGCCCGGGCACCCCACGGCTGTGGGTTAAATGCCTTCCCAATCCTCCCAGGGGGCCCCCGGCCCACCCGCCTCAGAGTCGGCGGGGCGGGGTCACTCTCCAGGCCTTCCCTCTGTAGCCACGCACAGTAGAGGTTTTGGCTGTAGTGGGCGTGGCCAACTCTGAAACCAGCCAGAGCTCCATTCCTTTGCATTCATGCCCCAAAATAGCCCTGGACGCATCTCTCTTTCCATGGCTGGGATGCTTGGTAGAAAGAAAACGAAGGGTCACACCAATTGGAGCAAAGAGACAAAAAAACAATGGTGCAGCGGAAAGAAAATTGTATTCCAAAATATTAATACCCATACGCATGATGCTTGGTGCCATCGGCAAATAGCTGTGTCAGAGCTTTGTCTGTCTTGAGAGTTTACAATATTCTTCAGTAGGTAGGCCTTGGGACGGCAGGTAGCACCTTAAACTATCATAGCCTCTAACTCCACAGTATCTAGAACAATTTCCCAACAAAATCCATCGCTATACAATTTAATGGCCCAGATGATGTTCTTAAAGCACAACGGTCTTACTGGTTGAGCAGGTCTGAGTCTACTGCCTTGGGTTCCATGGTGGAAAGAAAGGTAGGATTTATGAATAAAATAATCTTTCCGAGGGCTCTTTTTGTAGCAGGAACTCCTTTGCATGTTAGGCGACACACCCCTAATGTAGCCAATCCTCCGAGAGCTTACAGTATTCCCTGTAAGAAGAGCTCTGTAAGCTCTTGGAGGATTGGCTACATTGGGGTATATCACCTAATATGCAAAGGAGTTCCTGCTACAAAAAGAGCCCTGATTTTCCACTGTGAAAGAAGATCATATTAGTGGTGGCACCCAGCCTCTCCACATAATATGAAAAGGAGTCCCTCCTACAAAAAGAGCCCTGATTTTCCACTGTGAAAGAAGATCATATTAGTGGTGGCACCCAGCCTCTGACGCTGAGAAGTTTGGTTGTTCTCCCCCACAACTATGCCCGTGTTTTGTTTTCTGCTTTTGGGACTTCCACTGCCTACCTAAAGTACTGGGCACCTCCCCTTCAGTCACTGCCCGTTGCTGTAAGATTTCACCTTGTTCTGGAGCTACCTGGAAGCTGGCATTGATTCCCCAATTGTTGACCACTTCCTCTTGTGCCGTCCCTTGATTCATTCCCCCTGAAGTCATCCTCCCAGATCATCTGGCCCAGGGTCCCTTTTCCTCCATTTTTGTGGAGCCCTATACCCACAGTCACCTCTCGATGAACCGTTTCATGGAACCTCAAGTGTCTTTCCCCAAGAGCACCAGATAAGCCCAAACTTCTCCTTTAAGCAGGTCCATCTCCTGGAACAGTCTGGAGTAGTTGCTGTAGGGGGCATCTTTTCCAGTTTATAGTGAGCTCTTCATGTATGGGTTGACTTAATGCTGTCTTTGCTTTTGAGCTCAAAATAGCCATTATCATTAATTTTTGTTTTTATTTCAGGTCCCCCTGCTCGTTTGAACACTGGATTCTCCAGTTACATAATCTCACCCGCATCCTTATCCGTCAGTTATGGACATTCATAGAAAAGAATTCCAAGAAGTATATATTTGTTTTCCTTTTGATTACAGGCCAAAATAGGTTGTCGTTTATTGTCTGTGTGTTCCTTTTATTTTTTATTTTTTTAATTGGTTCACAGGCTGCTACACAGCTTTTGTGCCAAGGATTTGGGGGTTGCCTCCAAAAAGTTAAACCGTTGCCAATGAACTATCCATCTCATTTGTGGTCTCTGTGCATCACATTCATGGGATTAGGGCACCTGCCCGATCCCGATCGGTAACCTACCAAGCTGGAAAGGATTTTTACACCCTTTTCCCAGTGTCATGCGCAGGAGCCTCACTCAGTGATCCTCCCACTCTCACTCTCAGTCCTGAAGCAGTGACAGTCCTACTTCAGAATATGCTCCTGTAGCTACATCGCCACGTCGCTGTGTGGGAGATGAGCACTGTCAGACCTCTTGAGGACGGGATTGTTCCCCTTGGCATCGAGCCTCCCCTGAGCACGATTGTGATCGATCTCCACCAGTATCAATGGCAATCTCTCTACAGAACATACCCTTTACAATCCACCTTACCTTGGCTCCCACCTCAAGCACTGCAGGAATGGGACCAGTGTTCCGAGATCTCCCATCAATCTTGAGTTTCTCACCGACCCATCCACCACACGGCTTCAGCAACCATTTCTAAACCATTGGCTTCGACCGACCAACATCAAGGGAGCCATTCCGGCCACTCAACTGAGCGCATTGAACAGTCCACCCTGACCATATCTTGGGTCTCGCCTCCGACATTCACTCCGGAAGGTCTACCAACCCCTATCTGTCGGAACCTTTGGGCATCCATGATTCTGTTAGTGCTTCCAAGGCTGAGTCTGATCGGGACGTTTTGGGCCAACAAGCATTGAACACCAATCCATTTCCTGCACCACGAGCGACCAGATGACCTCCCAATCTCCCCCTCTGAAGATCTCAGGTCGTATGGAGAATTGATGAAACGCATAGCCCATACCTTGGCTTTATCCACTGTTCAGCCTCAACCCACTGTCACGGACACTGTTTGATATTGTCCAATTGGACACCTCTACCGCCATCGCACTGCCAATAACGACAGCCATGCTTCAGATGGCAAAAGCTGCATGGATGAAGCTGGCCTCCGCACCTGTTTCATCTCAACAACTTGACCATATGTATCAAGTTCAGGAGGCCGGTGCTGAGTTTCTGTTCTCTCACCCGAAACTGAACTCCATCGTTGTCTCGTCCTCATCCAAAGCCCAACAGACTTACCTGACATCGACGGACAAGAAAGGGAAAAGGCTGGATGCCCTCAGTGAGAAGTTTTATTCTTCAGGAGCCTTAGGAATTAAAGCCACCAACTACACTGCCTGCATAAACAGATACTAATATGCCCTGTGGGAACAACTTTTTGATACTATTGCTACTCTGACAGAGAACAAATGTTCAGCTGCCAGATGTATACAAAAACAGGGAATCCTCCTGGTGAAACAACAGCTAAACTCCTCAAAGCACCTCTTGGATGTCTTTGCAAACACTCCTAATCAGCTATCATGCTTAGATATCATGCATGGTTCTGCTTGGCATCCTTACAGCAAAGACACTACATCATACGTGGAAGACTTACCTTTTGATGGCGACAGTCTCTTCAACTCAACTACAGATGCAGTCCTGCAAGAGATGGACAAGAGCATCAAAACCTCTCATAATTTAGGAGTGCCATTGTCATCCCTCTCTTCCAAAAACAAGTCCCGGACAACGTCTTGGTCCAAATGTCCATTCAACCTACTAGATCCAAGGGCTCTAGGACACCCAAAGAACACCTTTGACTCTATAATCTCCCCAACCCCCCCCCCCCCCACTGCCCTCCTCCTCACCCACCCACCTACACCCTACGTACCAGCTTGGAGGCAGATCACATCAGACAGATGGATCCTTTCAATCATTTCAGAGGGCTATGCAATAGAATTCGTTCAGACATCGTCCGCTCTGGTTTTTGTCACCACCATTGGATGTTATGCTAGAAGAAGCATAGACCTTACTCAGGAAACAGGCCATAGAACCTGGGCCCCCTGACCAAAGAGGTCATGGGTTTTAGTCCCGTTACTTCACAGTCCCAAAGAAGGACAGAGGCCTACATCCCATCATGGACCTTCAAGCTCTGAATGAATTCGTTGCATACAGAAAGTTCTGCATGACCTCTCTGCAAAACATTCTCCCGCTCCTCAAGAAAAGGGAATTGGATGGCCACCTTGGACTTACAGGATGCATATTTTCATATGTAAGTAGATAAATGGGTACCTGCCTTAGGTGCAGGGGGGCACCCGCCTTCTGAACGGCGACAGGAAGGAGTGGTGGTGTCAGCGATGACAGAGTAACCCGGCAATCCAGCAGAGGATGGCAGCGAAACATCGAGCAGGCGAGCAGGGATTGGTTCGAAGGCGCAGCAACGTGATGGCGTGGGCTCGGCCGGAGCCAACCAGGACAGAGGCCAGTGCAAACGAGCATCACATAGCCGCAGACAATGGAACCACCCCAGCAGGAGCCGCTACAGAGCCAAGCCAAAGCCACCACGCAGAAGCAGAGGAGAGAAGAGAATAACAGCTAGCCGGTAGGGTGCCTGGTAGGCATTCCCCTCCCCAATACTGTGTGTGGTCCTAGTTAGAAGTGTAAATTGTACTATGTAAACTGCTCAGAGCCCTTCGGGGGTGAGCGGTCTAGAAATCGAAAGTTAAATAAATAAATATCAATATTCTTCCATGCCATAGGAAATACCTTCGCTTCACCATAGGGTCAGACCACTATCAATACAAGATCCTTCCCTTTGGGATCTCAACAGCACCATCAAAAATATGGTGGTCATTGTGGCTTATCTCTGCCTACAGGGAATAACCCTGTTCCCCTACATAGACGACTGGCTGTTAGTGGCAGAGTCCAGAGAATGCCTCCACCATGAGCTAGAGACCACACTGACTCTCCTCTGAGAATTTGGCTTGTGTGTAAATCTCAAAAAATCCAAACTAGTTCCAGCCACTCGAGTTCAGTTCATCAGAGTGCTGATCAATTCTTAGGTTTACAGAGCTTTCCTTCCTCCTCAATGAGTGCATGGGATATGGGCGGAGTGCATAGCCCATGACACTTGTCTTGTAGCCACTCACCTGCCAGGGATTCAGAATATGCAAGTAGACCTTCTGAGCAGGGAAGGGGCACCCCTCCACGAATGGGAACTCAATTGGACTTACCTCCAACCAGTCTTCCACTTTTGGGGCTACCCACAAGTGGATGTATTCACCACCAGAATCAACAGGAAGTGCCGCACCTTCTGCTGCAGAGGGGGGTTGGATCCCATGTCTCTAGGGGACAGCCTCCTGCACCCATGGGTACACCAACACTTTTATCTGTTCCCCCTTCTTCCCCTGGTTACCAGTGGTGAACAAAATCATACAGGAACAACTGAATTGCATTCTGATCACACTTTGGTGGCCGCGTCAACACTGGTTTCCAGTAGTACTCCATCTCTCCCAAGGAACCTTCCATCACTTCCCCCCATTTGCAGACCTTCTTCTCACTGCTGGCGGACAGGTTCTACATCACGATGTTCCTCACCTGAAACTCATGGTGTGGAAGATCTTATCTGTTTCTCGGACCAGGTGAAACAAGTTATGCTAAACAGCCGAAAAGTATCCACACATAGATATTATTCCTATTAAGTGGAACAGGTTCACGAAATATGCTACCTTGGTAACTGTGCTCCCGGACCGGGCTGGTCCGTTGGTTGTTATCAATTTTTTGCTTTCTTTGGTGATTCTGGCCTAAGCCACTCCTCACTCTGTGTCTGTTTGGCCTCAGTCTTGGCTCATCATCAACCTGTAGAAGATTATTCTGCATTTGTTCATCCAGAACATTTTCTGAAAGGGCTACTTCGTTTGCACTAAGCAGTTAAACAGCCTACACCAACTTGGGATCTGCCCCTGGTTCTGCACAAACTGACAGAGAAACCATTTGAACCCATGGCCATGTGTGCCTTGCAACATTTGTCTTGGAAGACAGCCTTTCTCATGGCCATCACTTCTGCCAGGCAGATGGAGGAACTTATGACACTTCGAGCCGACCCTCCATACCTGCGCTTCCACATCTCTAGTTCCAGATGTGAACTTCCTTCTGAAAGTCATCACAGAATTCCATCTCCAGTCTGACATTTTGCTTCCAGTCTTCTTTCCTTCGCTTAAGGATGAAAATGAGAGGCGACTCCACTCCCTTGACACTTTTCTTTCTGCAGAGAACACAGTCATACTGCAAGGACCCTAATCTCTTTGTATCCTATGTGACCCACAGAAAGGGATACAAAATATCCTCTCAAAGATTATCACCAGTGCGGGGCTCGAACTAGCACAGTTCGGATGTTAAGACAATGGGATATACCCACTGTGCCACCGCTCCCCTATGTGTATCCTATGTGACCCACAGAAAGGGATACAAAATATCCTCTCAAAGATTATCCAAATGGATAGCAGAGACTATCAAACTATGCTATCTATTGGCTAAACACCCGCTTCCTGGACCTGTACATGCTCATGCTACTAGGGCTCTTGCTACATCAGCTGCTTTCCTTAAAGTCCCACTGCTGTAGATTGGCAAGGCAGCCACATGGGCTACACATACCTTTGAAACACTATGCCTTGGATGTCCATCTGCATCAATGGACAACAGTGGGACAATCTGTCTTGCAGTGTGCTTGTGCCTGAGTACCTGTCAGCACCCACCTCCAGGTAGGCCTGAGCTTGCTACTCTCCCGTGGGTGTGATGCACAGAGACCACGAAGAAGATAAACTGGTTGCTTACCTGTAACTGAAGATCTTTGAGTGGTCATCTGTGCATTCACACCACCCACCCGACCTTCCCCACTGCTGTCAGTCCTCTGCGCTGCACTGTATGACCCCTTTGAGCGCCTCAAAGGGGTCATACAGTGGTCAGAAGGAACTGGGAGGATGTCCATGCC